TCTAACCCTTCACGATGCCCACGCTCTTAGACGGCTGTCCGCTGAGATCTTCCCACTGGACTATGGACTAAATAACTCTCTAGGTACGCCGATGAAGTCACAGCGCCTGCAGCCGTGGCTCCCGAAGTCGAGAGAAAAGCCGAGCCTGCTCACGAAGACGTGAAAGTTGAGGAGTCGCATGTTAACGTGGAACAAATTGATGAAGGGGCTGAAGAGCATTACAACGGTGGAGATCAGGAGATGGATGATGAGATTGATTTCAATCTGGGTCAAAGCAATGGCCATGGGAATAACTATGATGGTCCAGCTACTCACGAGGCCCATGGCCCTGGTATTAAGGAAGACGGGTAAGCGGTTTTGTTTTATTTTCCTTCACTCGATTTGCAGGTTCGCATGGCATTCTCATGAAGGAGGCCGGCTGTCCCTTCTATGTCAGATCATGATATTAGGACCTATTTGCTACTCTATATCTCCACATAATCCCTGGATAGGACTTGCTTGGATCGATAAGCATGGAACACTGAAGTTGGATGGCAAAGATTCATGGTGGATGGTAGAAGCTTGGGTCTTTGGCATGAGGCTTGGGAGGGTGTTGAATAACCAGGGATGGAGCGTAGGAGAAAAAATTATGCTTGGGTTGCCTGGTCCTTGCAATCGCTGTGGCTGCTGGTTGAAAATTTAGGATGGAGAATGCCATGAAGCACTGAGTTGTTATTGAAAGCCAGTGGGGATAAATACTTGGTCAGCTCAGAGGGAAACTGAAGGCGTCGTGCAGAGGGAGCAAGAGAATGATATCGACTCATACGTTCGACATCATACAACAGCGGCCATAGTCAAGCCTACTACATAGCCTATTGTCGAGATAATCTTCATAGAGCATCAGAGGAGGCCAAAGATAGGCTAGAGCAGAAGGCAGCGCATAGCGTTCGACGCCAGTACCTAGCATCACGATAGCAAAAGATACGATCATTCTTGGATATCTTGCAGTGTCATTCTTCAATGCTTGACCACGTTTTCCGGATTCGCTGTGGCAGAGGATAGCAAGACATTCAGGGGATGTGAGATCGGCAAGCTTTGTCGCTGAATTGAATGGTTACGGCATGATCTATCCTTCAACTGTCTGGCGACCGCCTTCATCATCATCATATCGCCAACTGTCAACAATCCCACGCACTGGTGCTTCGTGTCCGGCAAGCCCTGAAAGTTTGATGTTTTTCCAAAAACCAGCGATCTTCTGAAGCGAAGCATTACTCATTTTCGAGAACAAAGGACTCACACGACGAATTACATCCTGACCTCCGCCCACCAGGGATTTTCTTCTCTCGTCTCAATCTCTTTGGTTTTCATGCTGGCTCGTTTACTAATAACTCATGTCTTTCCAGGAAAATGTTTATTGGTGGTTTGAATTGGGAGACAACAGATGGTTAGTACAAACGCGGCAGTATTCTTCGTTGCGACCATCCTGACTAACAACTTCAGAATCTCTCAAGGAGTACTTCTCTCAATTCGGCGAGGTTCTGGAATGCACAGTAATGAGAGATGGCGCTTCAGGTCGCTCAAGAGGTTTCGGCTTTTTGACCTTCAAGGATGCCCGTACTGTTAATATTGTGATGGTGAAGGAACATTATCTTGATGGCAAGATTGTAAGACCTGATTCTCAAACTCACTCCAATTCCCTCCGTCTCTTTCCTTCCAAAAATTGTTCCCCTACCAAAAACAGAAGCTCATGCATCCATTTCAAGATCGACCCCAAAAGGGCTATCCCCCGAGACGAGCAGGAACGTACCAGCAAGATCTTCGTCGGTGGTGTCAGCCAGGAGGCCACTGAACAAGACTTCAAAGAGTACTTTATGCAATTCGGTCGAGTTGTTGACGCCACCCTCATGATGGACAAGGATACCGGTAGGCCACGAGGCTTCGGATTCGTTACATTCGATAGCGAGGCTGCAGTCGATGCCTGCTTAGGCTCACCCCTTGAGATTCTTGGCAAGCCAATTGAGGTCAAGAAAGCTCAACCACGCGGAAATATAAGAGAAGAAGAAGATCGAGGAGCCCAGAGAGGTGGTGGGGGAGGTGGTGGGGGAGGACGGTTCCGGAAAGGGGGTAGCGACGAGAACCAAAACTCCAACCAGATGCAACAAGGAGGAGGTAACCAAATGGCACCAGGTGGCATGACTCCTCAGGTCATGGCACAATACTGGCAACGCATGCAACAATACTTCGCCATGATGCAACAGCAGATGGCCATGGGAGGTGGACGAGGTATGCCTATGGCTGGAGGTATGAACCCAGCTATGATGATGCAAATGCAACAGATGCAACAAATGCAGCAGCAGATGCAACAGGGCAATCGCAGCCAAAGCCCCCAAAGCCCCAGTGCTGGAATGGCCAGTATGCAAGGCATGAACCCAGCTATGATGCAACAGATGCAGCAGATGCAACAGATGCAACAGATGCAAATGCAAGGTATGGGTGGCGGTGCCGGAATGGGAGGAGGAGCTGGTATGGGCGGGGGTGCAGGTAATGCTGCTGGAGGAGGCAACGCAGGTGGACGAGTCGGTACGCCTGGATACAATGCCTATGAGCAGCAAATGTTCGAGCAGCAAAAGTATGAGCAGCAACAAGTTCGACGATCCGGTGGTAATGGAGGACGGGAACAAGGTCAGTTCAATCAGGGTGGAGGATACGGCCAGGGAATGGGTGGTGGACCTACATCTTGGGAGGGAATGTACGATGATGTTCCTCAGCCAAATGTTCCCAGCGGAGGTGGAGCTCGTGGAGGATTCCAAGGTAATCGTGGTGGGAGCAATAGAGGCTCGGTACCCCCTCAAGCTGGACCTAGTGCGGCTCCCGCCAATGCTCCCACAGGTCCAAAGAATGCAGGCAAGCCTGGTGCGAACTATCGGGGTGGTGGTAGAGGTGGTAGCAGAGGTTTCCATCCATATGCTAGGGGGTAAACAGGCGCTCGATTGGGTACTTTGGGTTAAGAGGTCAAAATATACTTATGCATTGTGGCATGAGCATTCGTTGTTTGTAAGATTCCGACGACTAGAGGAGGTTGAACACCGCAGCAATATTCACAAAGCGTTGAATTTCAAAGATGTATTCGCATTATAATTTCGTGAACCCTTCCTTGGGAGGCTGCAACCAATTCCGTTCATCGTAAACTGCTCCTTCTCCCTCAATGACATGGAACGTATATATGATCCTACCCTTCTGACTAACGTTCTTCTCGCTCTTGTGCAACAGATTTCCATGGATCAACACCAAAGAGCCAGCCTTAACCTCACCAAGCACATAGTCCCCATCCTTAACTTCTCCTCCGAATCCGTCAGCAGCTGGGAATCTCGGTCCATCATTATCGATAAACTCGGTCCCAGATCCATCCTTTTTCCTCACAAATCTCTGCTTAATCTCTGCACTATTATGACTTCCCGGCAAGAAACTCAAACATCCATTTTCCACTGTCGCATCTTCCAAAGCGTACCAGAACCCCACGGCACTAGGAGGATTTGTATATAAGAATGTTGAATCCTGGTGTGGCGGAACAGCTCCCCCTATCTCGGGTTGCTTGCATATAATCATACTCTGCAAACATTGCGGCACCCTGAACCCGAGAGATCTCGCTATCAAAGACGGGGAGTGGTTGGATGGTGGCGAGAGGAGGGATGCGAATGGATGGGACAGAGCGTGCAGGTAATGTCCTATCTTATTTATAGCTTTGGCTTTGGGTTTTGTGAGGTTTCCTGCAACATCGAAGGCATCTGTTCAAGAGTATTAGTGGGATATCCTTTGATTCGTTAGGATTGGATAGCGAACCGACCTTCTTCGAAAAAGAACCGTATCTTGTCGCCGCTGGACAGGAAGTAATCGTCGCCTACATGGTCGCTTTTCTCGCCTGTAGAGAACTTTGTTAAGGGATGGTCGGAGAGAGTGAAGTTATCTAGGAGAGAGTGGGTTTCTGTAAGGAGTTCGTTGACTTTGGAGGGGGAGAGGGCGTTGGGGATGATGAGGTAGCCATCGCGTACGAAGGTTGATAGTTGATCTTTTGTGAGGCCTTGTGCGGATGATTGAGATTCTGGGGAGGTACGTGAAGGTGCCATTTTTGAAAAGATATAGTTTAGAGGGCTTGGGGGGTTGATGATACAAAGCGCCTTTGGGCGGTGCCCCTCCACCCCGCAAGCTCATTAATATCGAGGGGTAGGGTGGGGCTTTGATAACCTTACCCTTAGTAGTAATAACAATTATGTTCTGAAAGTCGCTGTTACCACTGTCTAGAGCCAGCCATAGCGTTACGCTTACTATAGATCGCTAAACTTATCAGGCTGTCTACCTAAGATTCTTTCTTGCAAGATACCTTATTCTAAACAACCTGAAAGTCCGGTTACCCACCTGTTCGGCTGTTATTCCGCTCCTTCAGCTGTGGTTTCCCGATTGGCTCTATCGCAATACAGACCCACAGTGGTGGTAGGTAGGCAGGTAGGTAGGTCGTGACCCTGACAGCCATTTCAAGAGACCGGAGAGTGCCATGTCGGCTTGATGATAATTACATATCTTCGATTACAAAAAATATATAAGGCTGCTAGTTTGTATTACGTACCCGAGTAACTCGGCTAATCTTGGTAGTTGAGGTAAACAAACATACATGCGTTGAGACGTTAGCAAAGTTGCCCGGGGTCCTTGTACGTCTTGAAAGATCTTGAATGACTTGAGACCCAATCAAACCTGCCTCAGTTACCCTGCGAATGATAGTAATCCTAGGTTGGAGTATGAGGTATAACCTTTCTTCAAACAACCAAACGAATACATCGGAAGGTAATGTCTAATTCTAAGGAAACACCTGCTAAGCCGATTCGAGAATCTACAAATGAAATGGCAACCAACCAGTGCTTCACTATCTGCAAATCATTTATTGACCGATCCCCAGCGGCAGAGGCTGGCCGATCAGGAGCAAAAGAAAATCGAACAATTTTTACACACGCGCGACAAAATGATCGATTTGCTACCAGAGGGGTTCGAACCCTCGCTCAAATTGAACTGGTGATTTTTGATGACTTAAAACCAGCGCCTTAGACCACTCGGCCATAGTAGCTTTTGATTCGACAGCAATCCATTGGCTTATTTAGTTATATATAAAAAATTAGTTTTCCGTGTCTGGCTAGAGCCAATATTGTCAATTAGGCGATGCTCGGAAGTCTAGTGCCCTTCCATGGCGTTCATAAATCCCCCTTGGACAGGCATATGCTTGTCTACGCGAGGGTGAAGAATTTCTATTCGGATCGTGCTTTGACTCATTGGAATATTTCATAAGTTTTTCGGTGTCGATCGCCATGCGTTGGGCTTTATATACACTTATCAAGGCTTGCGAAGCTCGGCTGCCGTATAAAGAGTGTCTAAGAAGGTACCACCTAGTCGAAGCCACTGGATCAGCATGCACTTTTCATAAGCTCACAAGAATATCATTAGAATTGAGAAAGGTCCCTAAGCCGTATTCACTGAATTCTAGAAAGTAGAGTAATAGATATGTAGTATGATCGGCATACTGTTACCGATCTCGAATCTTTGCCAGTTTTGTAAATACAAAAACTTACGGAAGTGTGTTCACCAACAAATTTCAGGTGCCGACATCCTTGACACTAACACAACGGCGAGCAACGTATACAAATGGCAGCTTTGTCGTAAGTTCTCCTTCCAGAACAACGAGATTTGTGTCGGCACTTGCTGTTGCACGAGTTTCACTAGACATTCCGAAAGTTGTCGTCTGGTACGTGAGCAAAACGTCTAGAAAGAATCTGTGTCATCTTGCTCTTCAAGCCATACATTATACCAGCTCGCTTCATGTTATATTCATTGACATCTCTATCTCCCCAACCCTTTCTAGAGTCTGAACTCCTCCAGCGAAGCTTACGTGTGCGACCTGTCTACGGTTAGGAGTACGTTCGCTTGAACTACAAGGTCGCTTCACGACCCCTTCTGCACCGTGCGATGGTACTACTATGGTACATGCATTCTTTCGGAAGCTTTGGCTCAGCCTATTGAGAAGATAAAGCTTCGGCTGCCGAAATTTTTGTGGCTCACAGGTTGGGAAACGAGTACTAGGAGAGATCCTCTCATGTTCGTGTGCTCTTCAGACGCTCTGTTGTAGTGTAATTTTGCAGAGTTCTTTCCTCGGAAAGCTTTTGGGAAGGAGGTCATTTAAAGTAACCTAATAGTCTTTCAGCAAGTCAGATTGGTGCATGTCTTGCGCAAATCGCCCACACATTGACAGAGCTGGATCTTAGTACTCAGTGCATACACTGGCAATGCCTCATGAAAGCAGCCTCGATCTGAACTCATTCGCCAAGTTGAAGATCCTCATCATAGCCGCGGCGTGCGTCCTCGCTCCTCTGCCCCCAGGACTGTGTCGAGATGGTCTTTATAAGCTACTTTCTCGTTCGCTCGCAATTTTAGTTCCAAGGCGTCACTACATTTGATGTAGGAGGACCAACTGCAGGTATGAATTATTACGATTAGTTCCAGCTACCAGATTGGCATTTCTAGTCAACAAGCGACCGAATTGGTCAGGTAGAGCCGCAAGGTCGAAACCAATTCGTGTCCGAGGAGTCACCTAAATCATTTTACCGCTGGACACTCGAACTAGCCACGTTCAAGAGTAGCGCGTTCCCACAGCTCGAGTCGGTTCTTCTCTACGATGCCGTTCGTGAGCGTTACCTGACGTTTGCACAAGAGGATTGAGAACCTCCTTTGAGTACCGACTACGCTTCGGATGAGGCAATGTCGAGCTGGACGTGCGTGAGTATTCGCATTCCTAAACGAAGACGATCAGGAGCCACAGCTGATATTGATGCTTGTCATCAGGATATCTCAACCCTCGTCAGTTACGCTGTAAAGCATTAAAATATGGGGAGCCTGCAGAAACTTTTCTTCATCTGTCCATGCTACCTCGTTCACGATGAATGTAATTGTGTAATGTCCGGATCAAATTGATCCGGAGCAAATGATCGTAGTCCTCCAGCTGATCATTCATTCGCCATTCAGAACAGTGCGTTTGCCTCTCAGGTCGTATTCCATTTAGTTTGAGGCCTTACCTTTATTTCGAAGTGATAAGCATTGGAGACTTCATCGAAGATCTAAGATGCGCCCACGCATGGTCAATTGAAATGGAAAGCGAATGACTATAAACTTGTTCATTATCAAATCGGTATTCCACATGTCGCCAACGCCATGACCACTAACGCCGGACCTTACTAGAACTCCACAAATCAGACTTTCCCTGTAGTCCTTCCGGTTTCTCTTCCAGCAGGTCTGCTTGTCTTCTTTCTTATAGGCTGGTAACAGTCGTTAAAATTCATGACAACACCTAGGAACCTCATGTCCACATCTGGCTGATATGCTAGGTCGCCCAGGAGCAAACACACCCTGGATTTGAAATGTCCTCCTAAAGAATGTAGTCGCTCCTGCAAGACCGGGAACTCGTCCGCTATAAGATCGTCCTGAATCGGAGCTGGTGTTGAATCAGGGAGATGTCGAGGTCCACGGCGTGTCATTGCAGGAGTGTCGATTGATAATCCATCATCATCTTCCCTCTTCATCGCTTCTTGTCGTACATCAGCACCTTGACGTCTTGTAAAATCAGATACCGCCCAGCTATAGAGGCCATCTACAGCATCTCGGTAGGTGAGCATGAGGCGCAGGATTTCGCCTAGCTGAACCATGAACGTGTTCTCGTCCACTTCACCGTGGATCTTCTTCTTTGCACCAAGTAGACCTTTATGAGTAATAGCATTCAGGTATTTCGTATGTGCCTTGATAAGGTCGTCCAGAGTACATCCTTCCTTATGTATAGCAGTTTGTAGTTCATCCCACGAGCTTTCAATCACCTCGAACAGAATGTAGTACTGCAGTTGACCGATGAAATGTATCATCTCAGCAAGAACACCCCTTGTGAGTTTCCAAGCCTTTGCCACGTTCTGATCTTCGCCCTGAAGAACACCTCGTGCGCCAGTCATACATTTTCGCCAAGTCGATGCCAGAGCAAACTCAACACGCTTGATTCTCCACAGAAAGTTGAAAACCTTCAGATACTGGCGGTTGCCCCACTCAGTCACGACCACATCGACAGGAGCGTCGATCTTGTACTCTAATGTAAAACAATCCCACCCAATATCTCCATGAGACAGCTGCAGCATGCGAGCATCCAATCTCCGGAGCACTTCTGGAGACTCGTATTGAGCATTCGAGCCCCGGATCGCATGTTCAAGCTGGGCAGTCAATGTGTGACGATATTGGACCCCAGCAGGTCGATCCAGATTAGATGAAAGTGACTCCATGAGAAGGGCGATAAAGTCACCCTGACCTAGAAGAATGTAATTTTTTAGTGCCTTCAAGTGCTCGAAAAGGCGAAACTTCTCAGCCATTAGGTGGATTAGACGCGCCATAGTCGTCTTGTAGGCTTCATCGATCCAGGTTTCCAATGTGGCAGTATCACCATATCGTAATTCCTTCGAGGCGTCCTTGGAATATTCCTCGACCCACTGAGAATCTCCGCAGCCGTAGCGGATGAAATTCAGCGATTTGCCAATCAGAAATACTTTCTGAGCAAAGTCTTGAGTGATGATAGTAGGCACCATATCCTCATTAAGCTTATATTTATCCTCCCAGACGCTGCTAGCACCGCCTCGACTTCCTCTTGCTGGGGTATCCTGGACGGCGTTTGGATCCTGTTCCGAAACAAAAAACTCTTGGTAAGGATCGGAAAGCTCTCCATCATAAATCCAATGCCTTAACATATCGTAGAACGGTCGCGTGACATGAGTAAGTAATCGTTCTGCAAACGCTCCTACCATGGGATCTCCGTGAGACGAGGAAAATCCATGTATCAACGATATGAGCTGACCACCCTTCTTGCTTTTAGACTCCTCGCTGATCAGGCTCATCAGTCGCAGTCCCATGGTTGCTTCGCGAGTCCATACCACGCATCTTTTCAGTGTAACTCCAGCCTTTCCAATGCCGCCCCTTGGCTCCTTCTCGTGCAGCGATGACAATGCTCGCCGAATCTGACCTTCTAATGTAGCAACCAGGCCAAGATACAATCGAAGCTCCCCTCCAATTGCGGCTCTCAGACTTTGGCCGAGAAGACCACCCTCAGGGGACTGGGTGAAAATGGATAGACCTCGATATAAAAGCGAGGGTTCTGCTAGAGTGTGGAGGATCGAAACTGTGGGAACAGGTAGGGAAGCTGGTAGAGTGACTGTTGATTTCGAGGAAAACGGAAAATTTGTCGAAGATAGACCCTGTAGTGTGAAAGGTAGGTCGCGCAGTAATGCGGTTTCCGGCGGATCGATTTCGACATAGTTTTCGGCAAGTAGAGCTGTCTTTAAGGCAACTCCTTCTCGCTGTAGAGCTGCAGATTTCGTAAAAGCCTGCGCTTCCTCTTTCCTATCTCGTTGACCCTCCTCCCTTTGCGGTAGTTTCTTCAGCCCTTCCGGGGCAAAGGCTTCTGAGATGCTTCTGGCCTCTCGTATTTGGCTTTGTTCTGGTGACCTCTGTTCGCTCTCAAAATTCCTGGAACGTCGTTTATTCTTGACAGGGCTTTTGAAAGGACTCGTAAGGACCGGTGAGGCCTTGAGTTGGTAGTCGCTAAGTTGGTATAAGAAGTATAAAACTGCCCACTTTTGATTAATGACTGGGATCGAGAGTAGTCTGCTGTAGAGATTCGTAAATCGAAGGGCTTTGTCTGGACTCGGGTTGGTCTGTATTAATCGTTTCTTAATGAGATCAGATGCCTGATTGACATCTGCAATGACCGCAGGACCTCGTGAGCTATAATCCCATGTTAGTCCTCGTTTCTGGAAGCGTAGTTCATGCATGTACCTCTGAAGGACCTCTGTCACAAAGTCCACCGTATTACTTTCCCTCTCTTGCGCCGAGTCGGGGTTTTCACCAGGAATTTCGACAAGAAGTCGTCGCACTAGGGAACTTATACCACTATTGACGCGCTGATTGCGGGACGACATCTCATTATTGCTGATGGTGTGCGCGATTCAAATTCGTGGTTCGGTGGGCTTTTATATCTATTTGTTTGTCACGTCC